TTCACAGTAAGTGCAGTAGTAAAACAGACTTGCTCAGGACTCTATTTGGCATGAATTCCTAGGAAAATTCCTAGAAGAAAACTTTGCTCTTGATATAGCCTAAGTATCTGGCTGTGTTAGAAATGTACAGATACAGTAGTTATTACTTTAGTCAGACCTAACTATGTATCTCTAAATCTAGGTGTATTCTTTGTATCTCACAGACTTTTTATGTGGTTTGTTGGGTTTTTGTTGTGATGTGTTTTTGTAGGGCAAGAGTCTGTAGATGAGAAAAATCAAAGTTTTCTTAGGTCTTCTAGCTAATCTTGACTAAAAGGAGTTAAAAATAAACTTTACTAGAAAGAGTCCCCCGAGAAGCTGGTCAAGGATAGGGTGAAGAAAGAGGGAAAAACCAGATAAAGAAAGGAAGCAAATGACCTTGAGATTTGCACAAAGAGAACAAAAAAGAGCTGTCAGGAAGGACACAGACAGAAAGCCAAGGGTACAAATGATAAATCACGGCCATCTCCAGTAGAATCTAGGGGAAGCAAAAGAGAGGTGACAAACTTGAAGACAGTGTGTACTCACATCTAAGCGCCTACATACACACACACACACATATACACACAAATATGGGTATATTTGTATATGTATGTATGTATTCCATTTAGCGTCACTATATTCATCTCATAGAGTACAATGGACATCCACACACCCCCTTACTAACTCTAATCAAGAATAAGGTACCCCTGCCAAGCCACTGCCCATCCTAACCCAAAAATAAGGTCCTGGAAGATACGTCAAGGACAAGTAAACAGACAGACAAAACAAGCTTCGCAGAGCTCCCTGGAAGAATCTGGCTTTAGGCAGAGATGTCCAGAAGCTGATCCAGTGGTTGAAAGTTCCAGGTGGGGGCAAAGGTCACTCAGCCCCCTGTAAAAAGCAGCTGAGAACAAAAGCCCCGGGGTTCTCCATCTTTCTGGAACCCTCTACCCTGACTCTTTCTTTGTGTAGCTATCTATCTTCTCCTGCCCTCCCTTCCTTTTCCTCTTTGCAAGTAAAAGCATCTTCCTTCATTAAACTTTGTCTCTCTAAATTTTTACTGTGGCTGAGTTTATGATCCTGGTGGGCTGCTCGGACAGCAGAGCAGCAGTACTTTTCTCCTGAAAGCACACTTTGAATTCTAATTTTGTTTATTGTGTCCTCCATAAATTTTGCTTGGAAGTGGAAGGAATTTACATGTTCACTATGAAAGATTGATGATTTTAGTTCTTGAAATGAATTAAAAATAGATTTACAGAGAGCAATATTAAAGTTTTATTATGTGTCTTAATACGAAGACACTTTCACACAGCAGGGGACTGTGCTGGACAGAGGATGCTTACCCAGAATAAAGAAGGAGAAGAGAGTGGATCTTGGCTTCTACTGGGAGGTGGAGGGCAGGAGACGGAGGCTGAGTAGAAAAGGTGCTGGGAAGCAAGACGGTCTGGCTCTGCAGGCACACCCCCCGGTAACAGCATTTTGCAGCAATCCATGTCTTCCCTCTGCAGAGCCTCTGGTGAAGGGTGGTCACTATGTAGGCTGCCCATTTAAATGTAAATGCATTTTACAAAAGGACAGCTCTGCAGAGTCCATCCTGAGACTTAAAAGTTGTTCAGGTTCTCTGAACAGACAGCTGAAGTATGCAGAAGAAGTCTCTGTCAGAGTAGAATATATTGAAGTCCCACATTGTTTACAACATGCTATATGGAATATGTTCTACATACAAAAGTCTGTTTATCTAATGAGGTAGTTTTGATTAAGTACAACACTAAATTTTTATGTTTCCTTCCAAAGCTTATATATTGCTGTGAAAATTTACTTAATTTTCTTTGAAAATTCTCTTCTAATTTTTTTGTTATAGTTCTGAATATTCCTATCTTTTAATCATTGCACTACTATAAAATTGCTTACACACACTGTTACAGTCCCTGAGTATCCAAAATATGGCTTGGTTATTCTTATGCTTCTGAGTTCTATACACTCATGATTTCTATGCTGCTGATTAGTGGCCTTTTACCTCAGGGTGAGAACATCCTGACATTTCTATAAAGCAGGCCCCGTGGTGATGAAGTACTTAGCTTTCTGGACGGAGAAAGAATCTGTTTTTCTTCATATCTAAAAGACAGTGTTCTAGGTCAATTATATTTCATTGGCAAGTTCTGGTTTTCTCCATCCAGGGTCTTGGATACATTAGCTCACCGTTTTTGGTCTAAAGAGACGTGCTGTGGAGTCCACTGGTGATCATTTGAATTCCCTCCCATGTGGGATTTGTCTTACGTCTTGCTGATCTCAGGGGTCTTTTCCCTTGATTTTGACTTTTGATAATTCAATTATTATGTGTGTGGGTGAATTCTTCCCTGGGTATACATATGGCCAAAGTTCCCTGGTTTTCTGTACTTTCAGGTCGGCATCATTCCCAGATCACAATTTTTTATTGCTATTTATTTAAATGTGGTTTCTCGGCTTTTGGGTCTTTCTTCCTCTTTCCAAATTCTTAGGGTGCTGAGTTTGTGCATCATCGGAGCAGTCCATGGTTCTCACGGGCTTTCTGGTTCCTTTCTCTCCTTTGTCCTTTGCTTCTGCAGGGATCCCATTCTGCACCCTGGGTGGAGGTCACTGATCTTCTCATGTCGTTGCACCTCATGATTCTTTTCAGTTTCTCAGGCTGGCCCTGCTGCCCAGGACTCCTTTCTTTTTAATTCTTTCTATTTCTTCATGATAGAAAAAATTAAAGAGCTTCTCTTTATGATTTTGTACTATTGTCCTAATTTTTTTTTTTTTTTTGATACCAGGAATCAAACTCACAATCTTGTGCTTGCCAGGCAGGTGCCATGTTGCTGAGCTATGTGCCTGGCCGTTGTCCTAATTTTATTAGTTTTGGGGGATGCTTTTAAGATCACTAACTACTTTAAGATTATTTAGAATTCTCTTTCATTTTACAGATGTCCCTGGTTTGGGACCTTCGGTTGAACTTCATTAGTTCCTCTAGAAGGTGTCAGGGTTTCCTGAGTCTTGCTAACCCTGTGTCCTTATCTTGACAAGTGTGTACCTCAGGCAGTGGCCTTCTTTTTTGAGTTTCTCAGAGTTCTTGGGGAGGCATAAAGCTTTTCTAGTGAGCTTAGCAGTGATTCTGGGTAGATGGTATGGTAACTGCAGTTCCCAGGGCAGGCAGAGCGGCATTTTCTTACACGGCTGACTTTCCGCCTCTCCTCTTGCTCTGATGGGACAGCTGGGCTGTCCCTCTCTGCAGCTGTTGAGCCTGTTGGCTGCCATGTGAGCAGGCAGGGATTCTGATTCATCACGGAGATCCCCTTGATTGTAACTGGGTGACAGGCTGTGTTTCCTGGCCGGATGGTGCTTCCCTCTGAGATCAACAGTCTACAGTGTTTCTAGGGGGGACCTGAAGTTCACTGGATTCACTCATAAACAGGAAAAGCTGTTGCATTAGTAATAAATGCATGGTGATTGTCATGCACACTAAGCATGCACTCCTTCCTGCAGGCACATGGGCTGTATAGTCAAAGAAAAGGCAAAAAAGAATGAAGACAGCATACAAGATATTTGGGACACCACTGAAGATAGTTGATGAGATTGAGCTTCCTTGGAAACTTCCCTAATCTTAGAAAGTTGTGGATGTCTGGGTATAGGTGGCTTATAGACATGACTACAGAAGATGTTCACTGTGACATGATATAGTCAAACTCTTAAAACTGTAGAAATAATAAATGCTTTCAAAATATATACAAAGTGAAAGGACATTGTCATATTTATGGGCAGCCCTATTGGACTAACTGTAAGTCCACTAGCAGAGACCGTACAGTTCAGGAGGCCATGCGATGGTCTTCCTTCCTTCCTTCCTTCCTTTCTTCCTCCCTTCCTTCCTTCCTTTTTTCCTTCCTTTCTTCCTCCCTTCCTTCCTTCATTTTTTCCTTCCTTTCTTCCTTCCTTCTTTCCTTCCTTCCTTCCTCCCTTTCTTCCTTCCTTTTTTCCTTCCTTCCTTCCTCCTCCCTCTCTCCCTTCTTCCTTCCTCCCTTCCACCCTTCTTCCCTTCCTTCATTCCTTCCTTCCTTCCACCCTTTCTTCCTTTGTTCCTACCTCTCTTTCACTTTTTTTGAAACAAGTTCTCA